CAGAGAGCCCACTACCCACCGCAGCCATGCCTGTCCTCCATTCTTCTACCCCCCCCATCCCCACTCGCCTTCTGGATATGTTCCTCCCTCCTGTGTCCCCCACTCCATGCCTCACTGAATGTTGGTGAAACAAATCTAGTCTAAAATAATGAGCAATCAACTACCCTGATGCTTGGGGCAGGCTGGGCAGGGCTGGGGGTGGGGGGGGCGGTGCAGGGAGCTGAATCATTTATAAAGCTTAATAAAGATGCAGATGAGCAGTGCGGACCAGGAACCCCAGAGCTGGGCTTATTCATTATTCAAAGTTATGTAAATGCCATCATTGGGTCCTGTAGGTTAGAATCCTGCCCCCTGTCCCTGCTGCCTCCAGGACAGACAGATCTGGGCCACCTTGTGCTTCCCTCTCCCGACAACCTGAGCCCAAATACCCATTTCTTACCCTACCACCAGGGAAATAAGATTCCTAGACCCCCCCGCCTCCTCTGTAGTCCACAGTCTTCCAAATGTTTGTGGGAAGCCCTGGCCTTCGGATGAACCTCTGTAGACTCAAGCAAGTGGGCTTCTTCTCATTGTTTAGAAGGAAAGAATACCCAACGAGCACTTTCGGACCTGTTTTAATATCTCACATATCTGCCCAATGGGATGGATTTCCTGAAGTCTAACCTTAATCCCTCTTACTGCACTGAAATAACCAAATTCCCTTTTAAATTCACTTCTCCCTGAGAAGTGAAAAGCAGGCCTCCAGTTTCTTTCCAGCCTACTGGGTCCAGGCTGACACTTCCTGGTTTGCCTCCTTAAACCTTTCTAGATCATTGAACTTCTTCCAAGTAAAACTCACATCCTTTAAGCTCTGAAACCTGTTCCAGGATACCACCCTCCGGGGAGGGTTGAGCTACTATTAACCACACCAAGTATCTCCTCTCTTCCACACCATGGCTACTGATTTGTATCCCACAATCTCCTAGCTTCGGGACCCAGATTACTTTCCCCCCCCCGACTCTCCTCCCTCTCTGCGAATCTTTCCCTTGTTCCCCATCAAGCCCTCATTTGTCAGTTTGGTGAGGCTGAGAGATGAAGAATTGGGTCAGAGTAGCGATGGCATCGATTGCCTCGGCTCTCCCTCCTTTTGGGGACTGGCTCTCCTCCCTCCCCACCCCAGTCTATTTTTAGGCTGCCTCTGTTTTCCCTGGTCTGGTTGGCAACCACACCAGCCTCTTTCTCTTCATTGCCCTTATCTCTCCCCTGCAGCCTTGTGCAGACCCCAGTTGCCCTTCCAGAGGTCTCTTCTTGCCTGCCTGATTGATTCTGATTTCCTTCCATCTTGAAGATAGGCAGGGGCTGTCTGAAAGGGAATGCCTGGCCACCCTCCGGCAGTGGAAGGAAAGCAGCGAGCGGATACTGAGTGGCCTGTTTGGGCCAATCCTTCAGCAAGTCGTCCTCTGACCCCTTTCGAATTGCCCTTGGCCTTCCTCTATGCCCATCAACCATTCCCCACAGCACCTCTCCCCTTTGCCATCCCATCCTACCCCCACTGAGAAATCCCCACTTCCTCCCACTTAGGCCTTCCTGCCCCTTGCCTTTGACTTGGGGGCTGCGCAGCACCCCTGAAGATCTGCACGTTTCCAGTCTCCTCTTCTCCAGGTCCTTGCCTTACTCCATTCTTTGCTGATCCCAACCTACCCCACTCGCCCACCCTCTCTCTGCTGTCTCCAACACACACACAGGACTCTCTTGCAGAAGATTTCACCAGCTCCGACAGGGCTTGGTAGCCTCCCCCATTTGTCCTTTCTCAGCCTCCACAAGACATTGGTCCCCTCCTTTAGCTGTCACCGACAAGCTGAATAAGGCTGGATATTTTGGAAGGGGAGCTGCAGCTGGCTGGGGGAGGAGGATGGCACCAACAGAAGAGGCAGAGAGAGCCACAGGCAGCAGGAGCAAGAGGAGACATTCCTAACACCCTCTCTTCCCGGCTTGGTCAGCTTGACAGCTGCTAGGAGCACATCTGGGTCTCTCTCCATATCTCCTTTCTCTCTCCCCCTCAATACAACTCTTGACATTCTTTTACCTGCCTGCAGAGACCCCCATGGCTCACACATTCTCCTCCTCCAAATCTCCTCAGAGCCCTCCCTTAGGCCCTGGGTGTAGCTCAGTGGTAAAGAATTTGCCTAACACACAGCAAGACAATGGGTTCCAGCCCCAGCACTGCAAACGCCTTCCCTGCACCAGTGGGACTCACCCTAACCACCCTCGGAAAAGGTCAGAATCCCCCCAGTACTCCCTGTTCTCACCCTGCTCTGTTTTACCCCAAAGGAATGATCACTTTTTAATATATGACATAATTTACAATATGTATGGCTTCCATGTCTTCTTACTGAACTGCAAGCTCTATTAAAATAGGAATTTTTACAATTATGGTCAAATACACATAACATAAAATGTACCGTCTTGGCCATTTTTAGGTATCTATAGTTCAGTGGCATTAATTCTATTCACATTATTATGCAATTGCTCTCCAGAACGCTTTCCATCTTGCAAAACTGAAACTCTGTACCCATAAACAAAACCCTGTTTCCTCCTCCTCCTCTCAGCCCCTGCAACCACCATAATACCCTCTGTCTCTATGAATGTGACCACTGTACTGGTATAAAGTAGAATAGTACAGTGTCCATCCTTTTCTTTTTTTTTAATATTTTTTTAGTTGTTGATGGACCTTTATTTTAAACATTTATTTATATGTGGTGCTGAGAATAGAACCCAGTGCCTCACACATACAAGGAAGTGCTCTTCCGCTGAGCCACAATCCCAGCCCTGTCTGTCCTTTGGTGTCTGGCTTATTTCACTTAGCACAATGTCTTTGAGTTTCATTCATATTGTAGCATCTATCACAGTTGTCTTCCTTTCTGATGCTGAATAGTATCCTGTTGTATGTACATACTGCATGTTTTTCACTCATCTATCAATGGACATCTAGGTTGTTTCCACCTCTTGGCCATTGTGAATAATACTGTTCTACACATGGGTGTATAAAATAATCTTTTGAGCAGGAAATCATGGCGCGTGCCTGAAATTCCAGCTACTTTGGAAGCTGAGGCAGGAGAATTGCAAGTTAGAGGCTAGCCTGGGCAACTTAGTGAGGCCCTGTCTCAAAATGAAAAAGAGCTGGGGGCTGGGTTTGTGGCTCAGTGGTAGAGCACTTGCCTAGCACTGGGTTCGATCCTCAGCACCACATAAAAATAAATAAATAAAAATAAAGGTATTGTGTCCATCTACACTTAAAAAAGAAAGAAAAAAGGGCTGGGGATGTGGCTCAAGCGGTAGCACACTCGCCTGGCATGCGTGCGGCCGGGTTTGATCCTCAGCACCACATACAAACAAAGATGTGCCCGCCAAAAACTAAAAAATATTAAAAATAATTCTCTCTCTCTCTCTCTCTTAAAAAAAAAAGAAAGGAAAAAAGTGGTGGGGATGTAGCTCAGTGGTAGAGTGCCCTTGAGTTCAATCCTTAGTACCTAAAAAAAATAATAATAATAATTTTTGGAGACCTTGTTTTCAATTCTTTTGAGTATACTCCCAGAAGTAGAATTACTGGATCATATGGTAGTTCTGTTTTTTTGAGGAACAAACATATTATTTCAGAACAGCAATTTGTCTCTGTTTCATTTAGTGATACATTCGAATTGCCTAGTACACTGCCTGTTACACAGTAGAAGATAAATAACTATCTGTGTAATTGAATGAATGAATGATCTTATTTGACACCGACACGCCCCTATAGCAATGGTCAGTATTATTATACCCACTTGACAGAGGCTGAGGTTCAGAGAACCACCTGAGATCACCCAAAAAGCAGACTTGGCATGGAGTTGACAGGGTCACTGGCTTTTATATCTCACTGGAGAAATGCTAATACATGTTCCTAGACCTTTAAGGACTGAGGCAGTTAAGAACAATTGCCTGCGTTGTATTTTCCTTGGGAATATTTTGCCTCCTGTTCTTATTGCCCATTTTTTCCCACACAGTGACTCCTCCTAACATATCTACCCCACCCAGCTCCAGCTTTCCTCTCTCCAAAGCATTTAAAATCCTGTTCTCCAGGATGAAACTGGACCGATCATCGGGGTGGGGGTGGGGTCCCCCTGCTTGGGTTTCACCTGAGTGCATCCAAGCCTTGCCTGAGTCCCTGTTTATACCCTTTAACCCTCCAGCCACCCTGGGGTCATTATGAGCCCGTTCCCTTCTGAAGCAATTAGTGCAAGGAGGCCAGCCGCCTCGGTGCTGATGCTGTTTCATTAAGTGGGAGCAATGCTAATGATAATAAAATGGCACATTTAACATTCAAACATTGAACAGGGTTTCTAAGCGAGTGTGTCTCGCTCCTTCTTTCTGGTATAACAGTTCCATCTTCATAAGGACCTGACAATACACCTTAATGAGAGACTGGGGAACTGAGCATCTTTACAGATCTAGAGAGAGGATGAGGACGAGACAAAGAATTCAAAGAAAGGGGGTGCTGAGAGAGCGTGGAGGGGGATAGAGATTCTGTGGATGCCTAGGGTAATGGATTCTATGGTGCTAATTTAGACAATTAGAGCCTGTGGGAAATAAGGTCATACGGAAAAGAAAGCCCACCGCAGACTTTTATGCAATGCAATTATTTGTTTGTTCAACAAATCTTTTTCAGGAAGCATTTATTGTGCAGCTAGGGTGAGATGGTATGGGAATTTTTTGATGGAGGATGACTCTAGTTTTAGGAAAAGGAACCCCATGGGCATTAGTGATCTAGGTCTTTTGTTTACCCTCCCCTGGGCAAATTTAGCCAAATCCACCCCATGTTCATTGAATGTCCCCAATAAAGAGAATTTTTTTTTTAACCACCGCTTTGGTCTCCTGAGCCAGTCCCAAGGTTCTTGCTACTCTGAGATGATGGAACATCTAATTGGCTTTCCAGGAGGGAGAGAGAAGGTCATTGAAATTGGGGAGCTGTCTAGAGAAAGAGGCAGACTCAATTACTTGGTGTTTGCAGGGATTTCAAGAGAAGCAGGAGTTTAAAGTGATATCCCAGGGCCTTTCTTCCATCTGAGAAGTCCTCCCCAGCAGAGGGCTCCTGAGCACAGAAGGGGGGCTGGTGGTCAGGGGTCAAAGATGGGCTTTGCCCAGGCCAGAGAATCGGCTGATTCGAAAAGGTGTCAGATCATAGGACGGTGTTAATTTCATGCTTAATTCATACAGAATCTTCCCCACAACAGGGGACAGCTTGAATCCATGCCCTAGAAGGAGGAGAGCAGATTGTCAAGCATCCTCAGGGACCCAGAGTTTGGGCTCTGGAGATGTTCCCCACTTACCCAGAGAGGGCTACTTTTTTTCTTGGTCTTACTCCAAAGCCAGAAATCACCTCCCGCCCTGGGTATCCCTTTTCTGCCTACCCAGCCTCCTTATACATTCAATGTCCAGGATTTTAGCCCTGTGTGGGCAGCTAGGAGGGTAGAAAATACCATTTTTCCTGGCACTGAGGTAGGTCAGCTTGTGGGCACCCCTTCCCCTGATCCTCATGCTCACCAGAGAATCCAGCACCAATGACAATGTTGTCATACTTCGGGTGGCGATCGAGAATAAAATTCTTATCAGGAGTGTTCTAGAAAGAAACAATACACTTGTCTCTTTGTGGATGGGGAGGAGGAACTACAGGCTCTGACGAGAAGGAACTAGGCTGGATTTCTTTCCAGAAAGAACGAGCTGGGGCACATGCATGCTTCCTGGGGGCCCCGTCTCCACTCTGGGTGTGCCAGTCTTCCTCATTCATCCATCTGTCTCTCTCCTCCTATTGAGCTATGAACACAGTAGGTGCTCAGATCATCTTTGTAAACTAACTTTAGTCAAGATGCCTTCGGCTCTGGTGACATCTGTCTCTTTTCTTTGTCCCCAAAGTCCTGCTCAAGTGGAGCATCTTGCCACAAAAATCTTTTAGAACTCTTCTGGGAAATATAATGAAGGACTACCAGGCAAAAACTAGTTGCCTAATGGAAAAAAAAATACAAATAAACCCTAACAGGCCCTTTCTCGTGGAGGTGAACCAACCCCCAGAAATTAGCTCACTTGTTTGAAGCTCTGTGTCAAGGGTCAAATGGAGTCAGGCCTGGCCAGCACAAGGTCTATCGGTCTCCTTCCCCTATCCTCCAGAGCCAGAACAGACCTGGCGAGACCACCAGTCCCCTTACCGTGTACATGCAATGCTCCATGATGTCGGGCTCTGGCCTCAGGCCAGGTAAGTGGTCTCTGACAAAGCGGCACAGGATCTGGACATCTTGGATGTCTGAGAAGGCTGTGGGGCAGTCCCGCTCCTCAGGGTCCACACTGTTGCCATGGTGATAGCAGACCTGGCCCCCATCAGAGCAGTGTGGGCGGTGATGCTGGCCTTCCACATGCACCAACCAGCAAGGGGAAGGCGTGGACACAGGATGTCCCCATCCATCATGACATATACAGTGTGGCCACATGAGGTTGCCTGGTGTCCATCCCTGCACCCACCCTATGATTGCAAGGAAAAAGCTCCCTTGGTTTGGGTCTCTAGGCAGCTGAGGATCTCATGCTGCAAACAGCAAATAGTAATGAAGTAGATTCCTGCTGCTGTCCACTGGGACCTGGGGGAGACTGTGAAGGGGCAAGTTAGAGCAGCTGCCCCAGATCTGTATGGGTACCGAGCTGTCCTCTCCTGACCTCTCTGCTCACCTTCATCAGCCCTGGGTACTCTCCCGCAGGTAGCCCATAGATGTGGTGGGGAGCCAGGTCGAGGCTTAGGAAGCATGGAAAGGCTTTGGACACACTGTAGCTCCCAGGAACTTTCTCTCGCCAGTAACACACATTGATCCGCAGTGTCTTGAGGCAGGGGAGCAAGAGTGTGAGAAAAGCAGAAAACCATGAAACACTGTTGTCAGTGAGAGCAGTCTCTTCTGGGGTCCTGCACCCTTCCATACATCTGTCTTTGTCTTACCCAATTTTTTTGTTTGTTTGCAGTATTGGGGAACTAAACCTAGGGCCTTGCACGTGCTAGGCAAACACTCTACCACTGAGCTACACGCCCAGTCCAAGACTTCTTCTCTCAAGCACTGATTCTCAGTCTTCCGGTTTCTCCTACCTGGAGAGGTAACTCAATTCCCAGGTGACGGAGGAGCTGGTTGGTCCAAGGACCTGCAGTAATGATCACGCTCTTGGCTTGGTAGCTCCCAGAAGTGGTTTTCACTGTGACTGGTTGCCCGGGTCTTATCTCCATCACCTTCTCCCCATCCTGCACTGTGCCTCCTAGATGGCGAATCGCTTCCTGACAAGATAGAGCAGGAAAAGGTGAATTAGTTGTGTAGGTGGCTCACCCTGGTGAACAAAGAGCCCTTCAGTTAGGGCAGCCAAGAGGGGACAGAATCTAGACCTCCTCTCCCAGGTTGACAGCGCCAGCAGGGTATATACAAATGCCCTCTCCCAAAAGTCAAGATCAAAGCCAGCAGGGCAAAGGCCCTCACCCAGAAGGGGGTCTGAGGCTGGATGACTGACACCCAGGATACCCAGAGCAGGAAGTTGGATTGTCCCAATGCTACACATTGTCACCTGGAGGACCCTGAGGGCCTTGTCAGCATAGAGGACACCTCCGGACTTGTCCAAGAGCCCTACTTCTCCCCTGGTGAACTGAATATTTGGGAAACGTTGCTTTAGTTCTCCAGATGAAAGATACTCGTGTTCTATCCCGTGCCTTGACAGAGTGGCCTGTATTGTCTTTAGTTCTGGATTCTCCTTCAATGCCAGCAGCAGTAGTTGAGTCTGCCTGTTAGAGAAAAGACAAGGCTATTTGGGTGAAGGTAGGTATCAAGGACCTTCACATTCATTCTTCAACAAGTTTCCCAAGTGAAAGCGAGTCACAGCCTCACGTTCAAGAGCAGGAGAAGATTTGGTCATCAGAGTCCTGGTTTCCAGCCCATTCCCAAGTCTGCGCCTTGGCATTCACTGTTTTTTTTGCTTGTCCCTTCATCCTGCCCTTGAGAAAGCAGAGATCCTAAGTTCTCTTTCATCTTCCATCCCTTGAAAATGGTAGATGTGCAATCAGTTTGATAAGATTTCTTCCCCTTCTTCCCATCCCCTGAACCACTCTCTATGTTGATCTCTCTTTTCTGTTTCTCTCCCACCCTGCTGTTCCTTCTCCTCTTGCCTTTTCTCATCATATATTTTTGTCTCTTCCTGTGTGTCTGTCTTTTGTTTTTAATATTTATTTTTTTAGTTGTAGTTGGACACAATACCTTTATTTTATTTATTTATTTTTATGTGGTGCTGAGGATCGAACCCAGGGCCTCATACATGCTAGGTGAGAGCTCTACTGCTGAGCCACAACCCCAGCCCCTGTTTGTCTTTTAGTTCCTTCTCAGAAGCTGCTTGTTTTGTGGAAAAGGTCCTATGTTGAGAGATCTGGCTCTGCTTCTAACCCTGGTATCACCTTGATATGACCTTGATCTGGAGACTTACCTGTCCAGGCCCAGATTCCTCCTCTGTGACATATGCCTGTTGGACCTTTGGTGGTTCCACACCAGGATAATATCCCCCTTCTACCCAGGGACAGATGGAAATAGCATGGGCCATATTTACATTTGTCACATAGCTGGAGTTCCCATTCATATTTAGTGAGCAGAGTTCAAGGACCCTAAATCTGCAATGCTTGAGAAGATCTCACCCCAAATGCCAACAATGCTTTCATGCACAAACCCCCTGTGGATGGTCTCTCTGGGCTCTAGCAATAAATTCAACGATTCTCTGATTTTGTTTTCCCCTATACCTCCTTCTGTCCTTTTTACTCTGTAAGGGAGTGAAAGCAGTTTCTCTTTAAATGTTACTTGCCTCTCTATCAAAAGAAACTAGAGCTCTCTGTGGCAGGGGTCGGGGGGGGGTACTGTTTAAACAATGGGATGGTCCCCCTGGGCCCTTGGGAATGGTCCCTCTCAATTTCGGCAGCCACACTGACCAGCGGCATCCTGGTATATCCCCCAGGTTCTGCGTATAAAGCTCGTAATAGCCTATAATGGAGTCTCATGGATATTACATGCTTCCAAATCCCACATTATCTGGTTGGGGGGATTAAAGAGAAGATTGGGAGGGGGTAGGGACACAGCAGGCCCGGGGGCCGGTGTCAGTACACAGAGCCGCGCAGCGTGCCCAATCCATTTGCCACGGCCCCCGCCTACCCGGCATTCACCACTGGTGAGATAGCAACGCCAGCTACTGCCTCTTCAGAACTCAGCAGAGGAAAGACGCTGTAGAAATCCCCACCAGCCAGGGAGACAGCCTCTGTTCTGTGGTTCCCAAAGGATTTCAGATTGGTTTTCAGGTAATGAAAGTTGCCTAGTAAACTTTTTGGTCAACAAGATAACTAGAAAGCCACCCAGGAGGTTAGCTCAATGGCACTTGCCTGGCATGTGTGAGGCCCTGCATCCAACCCACAGCACTGCAGGAAAAAAAAAAAAAAAATCACCCACGTGGGTTTTCTGTTTTGTTTTGTTTTTGCAGTGCTAGGATTGAACCCAGGTCTCTACACATGCTAAGCACGTGCTCTACCACTGAGCTATACCCGCCAACCCCTGGTGTATGTACTTGTTCCCTGTTTCCCTGATGAGGTCTTGGCTGGGTAGCCTTCTGGGAAAGACCTGGCTTACACCTCACCTATGCAGATATAACGTCAGATCTCTGGCTTGGAAACTCCACAGCAGCATATTCCAACTCTTACCCGCCATATAGCAGCCTTGATCTCTCGTATAGTCTGAAATTTACTTTCCTTCTTTTCACCCTTCTTTCCCTCCTGCCTTCCTTCTTTCCATCTTCTTTCTTTCTTTGAAATAAGAACTCTTACAGGGACGTACTCTATAGGAAAAATGAACTCATGCCAAGACAACGGGCAAATCTGTCGAATTATGAAATGCTGAGTGATGTTCTAATTCCCAAGCTGTCCTGCGGTGGATGAAGGGGGGAGCTCCCCATCCCTAGGAGTAATCAGCAAGCTGATTCTGCCGGTGAATGTAATTGTGCCGATTGTAATCATTTTGCTCCAGCTCTCTGCCCCTGTGGCATTTATTTCTTAGCCCAGATATTGATCTAACAGTGGGAAATTTTCCATCTGAATTTGTGATGCCGGACCCTCCCCTAGTCCGAAGACGCATTTGGGAAATTCTCATTTTCCGTGGATCACAGCTGAGCTATTTGGCCTGAGGGAAACCGTGCGCTGCTGGAGAAATGCCTTGGATTGGAGAGAGATTTTTGACCATTATGAGCAAATCGGAAATAAATGTAAAACACTGCCTGGAAATGCAAAGGCCTGTCATTATGGGAGATAGGTGAGAGGCTCCTATGGGAAATGCTCAGAGAATTGGAAATCAGTCAATCAAAACCAGGATGGGAGAACGAGCCTTTTCCCCCCAGTATGAAGACAGATGACTTCCATGGGCAGATTGAAAATCATTTAAGTGCTTATTTTCTTAATGGCTTTTCCTAGATCCCAATAAATAGACTACTTGTTCTGCATCCCTTTCTCACTCATGTGATCCAGGCCTCCCCTCTTTTTCTGCTCAGACCCAGGTTACAAAGTTTGGGAAGGAAAGGGTGAGAAGGGACAAAGACATCTTCTGGGGAGAAAAAAATGACCAGGAAATGATTGGCCAGGGCTGGCCTGGAAAGGAGGATTTGAAGCCAGCCCAGGTTGCCAGGGAACCCTAGAAATTTTGTAGCTCCCACCTCCCAGAATGCCCAGCAGCTGTGTTGGGAGCATTAGGTATGAACTGTACCTTCCTCCCAGAGGTCATTGAAGATTCCTCCCAAGGGCCTCACTAACACCTATGATGTGACATACGGAGCTGGAAATCAGGGATTTCCATGGGTTTCTAGTGCGGGACAGGGTGCAGGGTGGTAGTGGGAGGAACTGGTAGGGGAAGACAACTCTCCCTTCATCTTCCGCCTCCCATCCCAAACTCCAGCGTTCCCCTGGCTTGGTTAAAAGTGCCAGGTAAGCCAGGTCTCAGAGTCACCTTGGGGAAGGGACTTGGTAATGGCTGCTGTCTTTGTTGGTTTTTGGAGGCGCTCTCTGTGTTTCATCTTCCGCTCAGTGGGCCGAGGTGGAATTGGTTAACAAAGACTGCTCCAGGGAGGGGATGTGGCTGACAAGCCAGACACTTCGCAGACACAGGAAGCAGCAGCTGCGGAGGGGGCCACCAGGTTCTGCCAGCAGCTGTACTGCCTACGGCTGTGATCTTGTCTGATATTGTCAGCGAAGCAGGGGCAGCTCGGGTCAGGAGCTGGATAGTAGGACTCAAAGGGAGAAGGAGGGGCAGGAAAGAGATGGTCCACAGAGCTGGGCTTTGCTGTTGGTATCAGCATCCTGGCTGTACGAATCACAAAAGATTCAGACCTTGTGATCTGACACATGTGTCATTGTCTGTTCCCAGAATATATGCAAATACTCAGAGCCTACCCATGTTTAGTATGCCGCTGTCACTGGGAAGCAGCAGAATAGAATAAAAAGAATTGGGCAACCACCTTAACTACCAATTCCTACAGAGGTTGGTTTTTTTTAATCATCATCAAATGGCATTAAGTACACTTATTTCTATCAGTTATATTGTGCCGGTTCTTCTAGAAGAATCTAGAGAGAAATAAGAACCACAAAGATGATGAATCACTTAGAAAATCAAAATTAAGAGTAAAAGCTAAAGCAATTTGAATGGCATTTAGCCCAAAGGTAGACAGCTCTATTCAGATGCCATTCTGAGAACGGGAAATATCTATCTGCTGTGTTTCTACTGAGGATAAGATGCAAAAAAAATTTAGCATGCCTGAGTAAATTAGGCTAGCTATAAGAAAGAACTTGTTAATAGAATAATAACAATAATAATAATACTTAGCTTGCTACAGCACTTTAAAGGTTTTTTAAAGCACATTTACATTACTCTTCATTTGTCTTAATTGGGGCTGTGGGGTGTCAAAATAGTTTTTTAATACAGGCTATGAACCAGGCGCTGTGACCTATACCTCTAATTCCAGCGACTTGGGAAGCTGAGGCAAGGGAGATTGCAAGGTTGAAGCCAGCCTCAGCAATTTAGCAAGACCCTGTCTCAAAATAAGAAATAAAAAAGGGCTGGGGATGTATGAAGCTCAGTGGTAGAGCGCCCCTGAGTTCAGTCCCCAGCACAAGGGGTGGGAGATACAGGCTATCATATTTTCATGTCTTTAAAATTACGGTAGCAGTCTTTTGACCTGGGATGATTTAGGCATGAACTAGTTTGGAGACAGGGAAATGAATGAATAACATAATCATTTTGTGGTATCTTCTAGATCAGGGACCAAAAAGTTGCAACCCAAGGATCAAATCTGGCTTTCTGTCTGTTGTCATCTGGCCAAGATGATTTTTATATCTTTAAATGGTTTAAATAATACTTGGGGTCAGAAGTGTTTAAATACTTGGGAGCAGAAGTGTTTCAGATTCTTCTGGATTTGGGGCCATTATTAAAAAATCAAAAGAAGAGCTGGGCGCAATGGTGCATGCCTGTAATCCCAGCAGATAGGGAGGCAGGAGGATCATGAGTTCAAAGCCAGATTCAGCAATGGCAAGACACCAAGCAACACAGAAAGATCCTGTCTCTAAATAAAATACAAAATTGGGCTGGGGATGTGGCTCAGTGGTTGAGTGCCCCTGAGTTCAATTTCCGTGACCAAAAAAAAAAAAAATTAAAAGAAGAATAGCATTTATGACACAAGAAAATTATATGAAATTCAAATTTTAGTGTCCATAAATAAAGTTTTATTGGAACACATCCAGGTTGATTTATTTACATCTTGTCTGCATTGCTTTCACACTGTAACGACAGAATTAAACAGTGGTAATAGAGACCATATGGCCTGAAAAGCTTGAGATACTTTCCAAGTGGCCTTTATAGAAAAAGTTTGCCGACCCCTGTTCTAGACTGAATATAGTAATTATATGATTCACATTAATGCATTAAGATCCTGACTACTATACCAGGAACAACAATGGTAGTCCCAGCTACTCAGAAAGTTGGGGCAGGAGGATCCACTGAGCCCAGAAGGTCAAGGACAGTCTGAGCAACATAGCAGACCTCTTTCTCAAACAAATAAACAAACAAAAAACCAGCAACAGAGGCAGGAGGATCAACAAGTTCAAGGTGGGGATGAAACCCCTGGGTTCAATCTCCAGTACATTGGGAAGGGGAAAGACCCTGACTACTCAGGAGTAACCCTCTTATAAGATAATAGGGAGAATTAAATGAGTTTTGTATTCAGGGCAAGTTTCCCTTATCCAAAATACTTGGGATCAGATGTGTTTCAGATTCTTCTGGATTTGGGGCCATTTTCATATAATGAGATGTCTTGGGGATGGGACCCAAGTCCAAACCCATAATTCAGTTATGTTTCATATACACCTTATGCACAAAACCTAAAGTTAATTTTAGTGCTCCTGTGTTTTGACTGACCAATCACATAAAATCAGGTGTCAGATTTTCAATTTACAGTGTCATGTTAGTGCTCAAATCAAGTTTCAGATTTTGGAGCATTTGGGGTTTTGGATTTTCAGATTAGGGATGAACAGCCCATAATTTCTAAATTAATAAATGGTGAAGATGATGATGATTTTCTGGGTACTTTTCTAAACCCATTATATACTTATCCTCACAACAGCTCCATGGAATAGATATTATTATCCTCACTTTACAAGTGAGAAAACTTATTATCCCCACTTTATAAGTGAGAAAACTGAGTCTCACAGAGGCTAAACAACTTGCTCTCAAACCACACAGCTAAGTACATAAGAGCTGAGATTTAGAAATAGGCCTGACTGGTTCCAAAGTCCTTCCAAATCCCTCACCTGCCAATTAAGAGGATTATGAGATTATGGGAATCTCCTATCCAAGGGTCCCTTTTTCCTGTCTTCTGCAGTCATTCCTGTGGCTGTGTGATTGTCTTCCCTTTTGTCTCCTTTGTGTTTTGTTTTTCTAGGTGCTGGAATGGAACCCAGAGCTTCATGCATGCTAGGCAAGTGTTCTACCATTGAGACCTTGTATCTTTTTTTGTTTTGTTTTGTTTTGTTTTTAAGAGGGCCTAAATTGCCAAGGCTGGCCTCAAATTTTGCAATTATCCCTCCTCAGCCTCCTGAGTAGATTGGGATTACAGGTGTTTGTCACTGCATTTAACTCCTCCCATCCTTCTTCCTTTTTTGCACAATGGACCCAGGATATGGCTGACCCAGAATAGGTAAAAAGGACCATCAGTTATTGAAAGTTGCTAGGAAACTTCACAAAAGTGTCATTTAATCTTCAGAAAGCTCCATGAGAAAAGAGAAGTGAAGAAACTTTTCCAAAATCATATAGCGGGTAAGACCTAGAGCACAAAGTCAGACCCAAGCTGTCAGGCTCCGAAAATGTCTTCCTCTAAAAGACTCCATTTGCTAGACATCTACATTTGCTAGACATCCCTTGGTCCTCCGCTGGGAAGAACTGTACCCTCCAAGGCCTCAGGCATTTCTCCTAGCATGAGACACTCAGTAGTATTCAAAGATGACTGCCAGGGAAGGGTCCCATTTCCAGGCCACCCCTCAGCAAGACATGCTCCTTTATTTGGGTGCTGGGTGCATTAGCTGCCTCTGAATAAGTCCTTAATTAGCTGCCCTGGCTGTATTTGCATAATGGATTTCACTTCTCTTAAGTTAATGGTGTTTTTGCAACAGAACAGTAACCTTTTGGTTCCTGGCCATTAAAATAACTGCCATCCTATGGGGTAGAGCCAGGGTTATGTAAAGGAAGTTCAGCTAAGAATCACAGAGGAGGCCAGAGGGGAGGCAAGGGTGGTCAAAGTTCCCATTGCATCACAGGTTTTCTGCTTTCTCCCCCTGGATTGTTAGAGAAGGTCAGCAAGGAACGAGTCCTAAGGGTTAGAGAGAGCCACAGGAGCAACAGGGAAATAATAGCTTCAAGCCACTCCTGGCAAGCATTCTGGCATGAGGAGCACCCTATGTTTATTTGGGAGGTGATAGTAAGAGAGAATGAAATGAATTTATAGGATTTTTTGCTTGTTTGTTTTGTTTTTAGTCTAAATGGACACAATACCTTTATTTTTTTATGTGGTGCTGGGATTGAACCCAGTGCCTCACGCATGCTAGGTGAGCGTTCTACCTCTGAGCTACAATCTCAGCCCCAAGTTTATAGGGTTTTGATGGGAGGTTGAGGATCCAGCATAAAAAGTTAGGATACTACAGTGCATATAAAACATCGGTAGCATTGGCGCACACCTTTAATCCCAGAGGCTCAGGAGGCTGAGGCAGGAGGATCACAAATTCAAAGCCAGCCTCAACAATTTAGTGAGGCCCTAAGCAACTTAGCAAGATTCTGTCTCTAAATAAAATATAAAAAAGGCTGAGGATGTGGTTCAGTACTTAAGTGCCACTGGATTTAATCCTTGGTTTAAAAATAAAATAAAATAAGGATCAAAAAAGCAACCTCAGCCTCTACTTAAACCACAACCCTACAAGAGAACATTGTAGAAGTATAAATACAAAGTCCAGGCCTGCCCAACTCTGGGTATCTGCCCACTGTGTCTCTCCAACAGTTTTCCTAATTCAAGCTCTGTTGGCCTTGGACCCAAGGTCTAACCCATTCCTAGAACTCAGAATTTGGCAGGAGCCAGTTGGACCTGTGGGATGATAACGACAGTGTACTGAATTCTTCCAGGTGACTGGCACCTGCATCTCACGCTTTGCATTTCAAATGTTCATACCCTTCCTTTTCACAGGTTAAAAGCACTTCCTGGTATGGGGCCCCTTGATTCAAGGAATTCCTCCCCTGCCCACCTGTGCAGCTGGGTTCCAGTCTCCTGCTCCAGCTGGGCCCAAATCCGGTAGCTCTCATCCATCATTTTAGTGTAGAAGTCTTCAGTGTAGGCCTTTCGGATTATGCGACTCTGTCCATGGGAGCTTCCTCGGGAGTGTGGAAGAAAGAACTGGAAGTGGAGACAAAGGAAGCCGTTGCCTCTGATGCTACATCCCTCTTTAGGGCCCATCTCATCCTGTGCTGTCAAACACGAGCCACTTATTCTTCAAATATTTTCATACAAGCTTTTCGAATTCTCTCTCAGCTGGGTGGGCACAGTGGCACACACCTATAATCCCAGAGGCTCAGGAGGCTGAGGCAGGAAGATCACAAATTCAAAGCCAGCCTCAGCAACTTAGTGAGGCCCCAAGTAACTCAGTGAGATCCTATCTGTAATCAAAATACAAAAAAGAGCTGGGGATATGGCTTAGTGGTTAAGTGCCCCTGGATTCAATCCCCAGTATCAAAATAAATCAATAAAATTCTCTCTCTCTTTTTAAAAAATTTTATTTGTAGATGGACACAATATCTTTATTTATTTATTTTTTTATGTGGTACTGAGAATCGAACCGAGTGCCTCACACCTGCTAGACAAGCGTTCTACCACTGAGGCTCAACCCCAGCCATCTTTTTTTTTTTTTCCTTTTTAGTACTTGGGGTTAAATCCAGGGGCTCTTAACCATTGAGCCACAACCCAAACTCTTTTTATGTTTTACTTTGAGATAGAGTTTCGCTAAGTTGCTTAGAGCCTTGCTCAATTGCTGAGGCTGGCTTTGAACTCACGATCTTCCTGCCTCAGCCTCCCAAATTGCTGGGAATCTACTGCCTTGGTGATTAAGGTAGAAGTTCTCCAGTAACATGAAACTCGTCATTCTTTTTGCAAACATCATTCACATTCCACAAATCCCTTTTTTTTAGCTGGTCTCCAGTTGTCTTGCTACAATCTCATCCACTTGGATTTACAGAAAAGCAGAATTAGAAAAAAACCTTCCAGATTATTCTAATCTAGCCCCCCTCATTTTATGGATAAGGGAAACAATGCTGACTATTTCTCTGTGGCTTCAGATCACTCAGGATAGGAGAACTATCCTGGGATTTAGCAAAAGATGAGAGTTTCCTGAGAGGATGAACCAGGAATCCCTTGGGCTATGAGCAAACTGATAGAGAAATGAAGATTTCTAACTACTCAGCTCATTACCAAGAAAAGTACACCCTAACCAGCTGGAGAGCTGTAGACAAAATGGCAAGGGAGAACCCAGTGAGGCAGAGCCTTTCGCATGGTGGGCCTGCACTCCACTCCCAAGGACCCTGCAGACACACAGAGTCCACCCACATATGCAGTGGTTACTGTGGACAGCACTGCATGGGGTCACCTTTCCTTTAAGGAAAAATAAGATCTGTGCATCATATTCCTGTGCATCTTACCCTGTGCAAGGAGGCTGCTATTGTCACCGGAGTAGTTCCCGGGAAGGGGGACCTCCACTCAGGACAAGTGAGGTCCTTGGCGTACATGATGGAGAAGAATTTCAGCATGTACTAGTCAGAGACCCAGATTTATTTAGGAAGCAGATACAAATTCAAAGGAGTACGCAGGGCCATCTCAAGAGAGAGAGGTCTTTTGGGGTAAAGCAAGGAATATACATACATTCAAGGGAGAATATGGGCCATCTCCAGAGGGAGAGTCAGCAACCTCTTAGTCTGTTAATATTTATAAAGGAACAGTAGCTAGGGGCTGAACTAGAAGTAGAGTGAGGGCGATTACACAATTTCATGCCAGTTTTACCTCCTCCCCACCCCCTCTCTCTTTTGGCAGTACTAAGGATGGAACCCAGGGGCATTCTACCCCCCAGCTACAACCCCAGTCCTTTTTATTTTTCATTTTGAGACAGGGTCTTGCTAAATTGCTGAAGCTCACCTCAAATTTGCAATCCTCCTGCGTCAACCTCTGGGATTCCTGGTTTGCACAACACACCCACTTCGTGCCAGTTTTTGTAGCACCTGCACCTTGCCCCCACTATGTTACTTCTTAACAAGCATGGGCCAAGGGCAGGGGCTGGGTTGCTCATAGGCTGTCTGCTTTGCATTTCAAAGATTCATGGGCATTCCCTGAATTCCAAGGATTCATGGAGCTTCACTTCTGAGACTTAGTTGATCTTTCTTTCTCTGTATCCCCAAATTCCTATCTCACTACTACTCAGAGGAGGCAGAATAGATAGAAGCTTCTGCTGGGTTTGGGGATAAGAAGTTGATAAAATGCAGGAAACAATCCTACCTCTTTGACTAAAACATCAACCCTTGCCCCTAGGCAAAATTATCTTTACTTAAAGTTACCCAGAGCAGAACTGATTATGTTTCTGGGCTGGATCAACCATTTGGGCACAAAAGACTGGGTAACAGGAATAAAAAGAACACAGCCTGGGATACTTCTCAGTCGTGAGTAGGAACCAAGAGACAGTAAAAGGAAGAAATGTACCTGGAAGGCCTGCAGGGGCTGAGGGAAAGTGGAACTTTGAATCGTTATGAAACACAATATTAGCATCTCAACTACAGACTGCCCAGAATTTGTGACATTTGGGGTCCTTTGGCCTCACTCATAACCTCTTAGCTCTGGGAAGCCCTCCCTAGGAGAGGAGAGAGACACAGTCCTTAAGGTCCGAAGGGCAGAAAGGACACAGTACCTGCTCCAGCAGGAGGACTCTTTTCCCGTGTTTGGCCAGGTGGTACGCAGTGAAGCAGCCCTGGATGCCTGCCCCCATCACAATGGCATCCCAGAGAACTTTCTGAGTACCCATGATGCCCACTTAGCCCTCTGGCCACAGAGCCCACGGAGGAGACGGCAAACAAAGGCAGCACCAGGCTGCAGGGAGAGCAGGAAGGCAAAGTCCAGCTTGGCCAGTGTTCCCACAATCCCCTGGGGATGTGTCCGGCTCCTTCCTCCTTCCTCCCCCAAAGCCTGGCACAGGGCTTAGCCTCCGCCCCCATGGCAGAGCAGAGCTGGATGGTCTGATTTGTGAGGTTTAGCCCAGCTCAGCTGCCAGCCTCACCCTTGCATCCCTCTAGCTTTCTATTCTTGGCTCAATTATTGTCATGCAAATGGGCTCCTTCCTATGCCACCTTCCTGTCTCATTATGATCTTTGTCTCAGGACTTCGGCCCTGGAATTTCAATGCCTCCTAGACCAAGCTGGGCACCGGGAATGCTGCCTCCCCCTGCTGGCTTTCCTCTCCTCGGCCTGATTTCCTTTAGAAATTCTGCAGGGCCAGCTAAGAACTTGGCAGGATGCCCAGGGTAAGGCCTACCTCCCTGATAGGTGGGGAGGTCAGGGGGTAGAAGCAGGGGCCAATTGGGAGGGCAGCTTTGTGATTATGAAATTATTCTCAGCATGTTTTAGTTTCATGTTAAAAAAAAAAAAAAAGGAGAATAAATGGTCCTGAACAAGTGGAAAGGACAGAGTGAGAGGAGGAGCCCTCTTCTCAGGCACAGAAAGGGAACCAGTCACTGGCCTAGCACATAGAGGGGGTCTGTATGGAGAGTCCCCCGTACCAGGCAGCGTGCTAAGTAAGCACTGTTACAGGCATCAGGGCAGAGCCAGGATTTATTGGTCCTGATTCTTACACAATTTGGAATTCTGAAATAGGAATTGGGAATAAATGGAGAGATACTGAGTCTCAAAGGAAATGCCCATAAGCCATTGAAATTCAGGAAACATCCATGAACCATTGAAATTCATAAAGCACCCTGGAACAATTGTGCCCTTGACCCATGCCCTTGTAACATGAGGGAAATGCCCACTCGTAGGGAAAATTGGCATGAAATTGTAATTCCACCTGGCTCCACCCCGAGTCCAGCCCCCAGCACAGGCCCTCTATAAATATTAACACCCTGGGCTAATGGGTTATTGTCTCTCCCTCTGTAGGTGGCCCGCATTCTCCCTTTTAAATTTTTTTTAAATTTTGGTAGGAGGGATTGAATTTAACCAAACCCTTTTTAATTTTTTTTTTTTAAATTTAGGCATTGTCTTGCTAAATTCCTGAGGCTGCATTTGAACGTGCAATCCTCCTGCCTCAGCCTCCTGAGCCACTGAGATTACAGGTGTGCCACCACACTGGGCTTCAAATTCTCCTTTGAATACATTTCCTTGCTTAACCCTAAAGGCATGTCTGTCTCTTGGTATTGCCCCCATTCTCCCTAAATAAACCTCTGTCTCTGCCTTTGATTGACAAATGTCACATGCTGAAATTCTTTTCCTTCACATTTTCCAAGAACCCCATTGGTCTTGAGTCAAGATCCCTTCCCCTCTCTGGAAACTCCTCAGACCCTTCTTTGGAGAAATCTCTTCTATAGTGACAGGACCTCTTAAAGAAAAAGTAAAAAGGGACTTGGGGGTGTGGCTCAGTGGTAGAGCATGTGATTAGCATGTTCAAGTTCTCAGGCTCAATCCCCAGCTAAAGAAAGAAAGAGAGAGAAAGGGAAAGAGGAAGGAAAGAAAAAGAAAAAGAAAAATTATGAATTAGGTGCCAGGACTTGGAAAAGACCATTCAATCAAGGAACCCTCTGGTTGAAGCTTCCTTTACTTCATGGAAAATCTGCCTCTGAATGCATTATCTCATTGACTCCTCAGAATCTGAGGAGTAAGTATCTTTATCCTCAGATTACAGATGGCCCCCAAGTTCTTCCTCATCCCTCCCATCACGTTCCCTGGGACTACTTGGTCAGTAGAACATGGTGGGAGCCAAACTGTGATTCTTCCTGGCCTACACCTTCAGATACTGGCAGCTTCCTCTTCTTGTCTTGGATCTATGAGCTGCCATGTTAGAAGTCCAGCTATCCTGTGGGAGACACCAGGTGAAGAGGCCCTAGGCTACATAGAGAGCCAGACAGAAGGGGAAAGCCATTCAGACTTCCCAAGCTAGCCTAGCCACCCGCTAAATACCACCAAGTGGCCTTGTCAATGCCATGTGTGCAGAGGAAGCACTCAGTCAAGCCTCACCGGAATTTCAGACCCACAAAATCATGAGGTAGAATAAAATGATGGTTGTTTTCAGTCACTAAGTTCTGGGGGTGGTTTTTTACACAGCCATCACTGAAACACTGCTTGATAAGTCAAAGATATTGGAGTTCAGGTAATATTTTGTCCAAAGCCATACACCTGGTGTACATGGACACTGAGCTATGACTTTAGTTCTGTCTGCTCCAGAACTTGTTCCTTTAACCACTATGCTATACTAAAAATTAGTCACAGCTTGGAGTGATGATTCTGATTTCACTCTTTCACCATTTTTCTCATGGCCATACGGTGAGTGGGAGGAAATAGTCATCCAGGAAGCCCATATGACTACAGGGAGCTGACCAGTCTCAGCACAGTGGTCCACTGAGGCCCTCAGCAACATTTCTCATCCTACAAAGAATCCCCCAGAGTAGCCTTAGCAACAAGCTGTCCTCTCAGTCCAGCCCTCCCCTTCGTAGGAAAGTAAAAGCCCAGGAAGGCGATATCATCTGACTGGCTTTTCTCTCCTTTTTTTTCCTAATAAAAAAATCAATCTAAAGTCTATAAAGGTCATCTCAACTTCATGCCACCTCCACCCCACATGGGACAGGATAGCATCTGCCTCACAATTGGACTGCTCCCTTAGAGTAAAAAATAGCAGATATAACCAAGAAAAATATACCACAGTAAGTATGTAAAGTCTTGATAGAAATATATAAGATCAGCCCCCGGATTTCTCTTGATAAGATGTCAGAGGAGATGAACAGTTTACACAAAAGGAAAAGCAGACTATAAATCCTTACATGGAAGTGTGCCCAGTCTCACGAGCAATGAAAGAAATGGGAATTAAATAACTTCAAGGTACTATCATGTGCCTATTAAATAAACAAAAATAAATAAAAATGACATAATCTGACATTGTCCAGGCTATGGGGATAGAGATACAATAGGACTCAGATTGCCTAGGTCTTGTACAAGGAACTGGGGCAAAGCACAATAATAAGGGTGAAATGGTTCAAGCATCTGACCTAGAAAATCTACTTGAGAAACTGTCCCCTAAGGGGAGAGAAGGGCATTTGTAGGAAGACATGCATGTCTTTGCTTTTATACTAGAAAAAAAAATGGAAACAGCCCAACAATAGGCATAAGCTAAACAAACTGGCATGTTTTGATGCAATGGAATACTATGTAGCTGTTCCTAATGACAAGTGTGAGGACTGATGCTTTGTGGAAATACATATATGAGAAGAGACTGAGAGCCAGGCACCATGGTGCATGCCTGTAGTCCCAGTGACTCGGAAGGCTAAGGCAGGAGGATTTCAAGTTCAAAGCCAGCCTTAGCAACAGCGAGGCACTAAGCAATTCAGTGAGACCCTGTCTCTAAATAAAAGATAAAATAGGGCTGGGGATGTAGCTTAGTGGTCGAGTGCCCCTGAGTTCAATCCCCAGTACCCACCCATCCCTCCAAAAAAAGAGACAGAGAGAGAGACACGGCACACAAATAGACACACACTGATTGCAACCATGTGTGCAGTGTGTGTTATCAAAGATCTAAATAGAATCTGGCGAGGTCATTGAGCTAATGCTCATTAGTTCCCTATTCTATAAAAACGGTGCTTTCATTCACCATTTGTAAAAGGAGAAATTCCCCTGGGAAGCACATGCTTCAAACCTCCCTGGTCACCAGCTTCCAGAGCCTGGGGAAGTTCTTTCTTTGTTCTGATCTCAGTTCTTCCTGCTGCCCCTGACGCTTCTTATTGTTCATTCCTAGGTCCTCCAGGGAAGCTGCAAAGCGCTCTGTTTCTCCCCCCGCCCCTGTTTAATATAATATCCCTTCAGAGATAAAATGACAATTCCATTTCCCATCCCTACTTCACAAGCCTGCCCTGGATTCCTGGACTCAAGCATTCTGCTTCTTGTTAAGAATTTCAAACAGCTCCTCCGAAAGCAGACACTGGCCACGGCCCAACCTTGAAATGAAAAGCAAATCGACTTCTGAAGGCTTCCCCTTCTCTCAGGGTTGCCCGTCCTTGTGGATGTCCTGACAGGAGCAGGCAGAGAGAAGCGATCCCCTCAAATTCCATTTTAACACCCATTCTGGATGGGAAGACTATTAAAGGGAGAGCCAGCAGCCCTACACCTTGCTGCTTGTGTGTGTCAGCAATTGCCGCTGTGTCTGTCCTGGGGCAGAGACGCTGAGGATGTGAAGCTGAGCTGCTCATCCGATGGCTTGATTGACACTTTGCAGACAGGGGTGGGAGAACCCGAGCCAGGAAAGCAGCAAGCTGTACGGCTCAGAAATAATGAGAGGACCCGAACGGAGAGAGCGTGGAATAAATAAGGGAGACCTAGGAGTTGAATGGCAAGGGAGAGGCTTCTCTGTTCGGCTTTTCCTGCTCCACTTTGCCAAGGAGCTGGAGCCTGGGGCAAGGAGGCAGGCAGGCAGACGGGGAAGAGCCCCTCCAGACCCATCCTGCCAGCTGCCGGGGGTTGTCTGGGGCCCTGAATGTGCAGAGGATGCCGGCGGGAGGAAAGGAAGAGCCAAGAGCGAGCTTTGTGCACGGTCCCCATGTAGGAGCACTGACCCATTTCCTGCCTGGGGTTGAATCCCCTATCGCCATCTCTGCTCTCTTTGCCCCTGGTCATCCATTCACCCTGGCTCGCCTGGAGGATTGCACTAACCTCAGGAGACATCTCCCCCACCTCATCCTTGCCCTCTCAATCTACCCTCCACGTTCTGCCAGAGACATCTCTCTAAAGGGCAAATTGCACAGGTCACTCCCTGCTGAAAATTCTTTCATAGCTCCTCATTACCTATTAAGATAAAAATCTGGACTCTGTAGCTAGGTGCACACTCTAGCCTCTGACTGCTGTGGCAGCTCCATGGTGGGGCCCCTTCTCGCTGTGCTTTTTGTACTCTTGCAACACTAAGCCGAGAAGGGTTCCAGCACTCACCCCGATTATTCCAAACTCCCAGACACCCCCAAACCAGCAACCCCAAGCCCACTTAGTCCCTTTCCTATACTCCCTTCCCACCTTGCTGGAAGAGTCTCAGAGATAACAATGCGCATATTGTATTGTAATTGTTTGCATGTCTGCCTTCCCCCTAAGCCTCTTAAAGGAAGGGAGTCTTTTTTTTTGTTGTTGTAGCTTTTTCATAGGTAATGCATACACATGGAACAACAATAAAATGGACAAAAGAGAACACCATGGAAAGGAAGTCTCTTTTCCACCCTATCCGCAGAGGCTTAGTGCTTCCATCAGATGCAACACTATTGCTATTGCCTTTTGTGTCTTTTCAGAGATACTGTATGGGTGTACAAACATGCTTTACAGTATGCCCTTTAAAAAAAAATCTCAA